CTGGCCAGCTGGAATCATCTGTCCATATCAATCATGTTGCTCAGAAGACTCCCTACCATTTTTATAAAGCTGCTTTTTGATCATTTTGTGTAAAAATGAAAATACTACTTCACAAATATGTAATATGCATAAATACAAACAGAGTGACATTAATACTATACCCTACTCACAAAATCCTTATCTTCTGAAGTTCCAAAACCTATATTTTAAACATCAACTGACTGAAGACCTCTTTCATTGCAAACTACAGTATTTATCCTGAAATGTCAATAACAAAAAGGGAAGTTCCACCTGTGATGGAAAATAGAACTTTTGTATCAATAATAACAGCGAACTTAGCAACGCTGATATGTACTATATATCCTATTATATTCTTCTATCCATCCATCCATCCATTTTCTGTACACACTTCTCCTATGCAGGTATGCAGGTATATATAATTATTGAGAGTATCTTTACCCATTTGTCTATGCACTCTGGTTAATTAATTAATTACATTCACCTGTAGAAAACTGGCCATATTTTTAAAACATTGCCCATTTTAAGGCTTTGCAATGCATGGCCCTTCCATTGGCCTCTGGAATATGTACAAATTGACAGACTAATCTTCAGGCTTGTGAAGACTCCACGTCTCACACTCCAATTTATCAGCCTGCAGACTCTTTTAGCAACTGGTGAGATAAGCTACATTAACCGAGGGTGTCTGCAGTGGGAGAAGCTGAAGGATGAATTGGTTACACATTCCCACAAGCACAGGTGGCCCCTCTTATCCTGGAAAGTCCTTTGGTTGGACACTAAGTTTGGATGGCCCTTGACAGGTGGAGGTCTTTGGCTGCTGCTCGGGAGGGGGGATCATCTGCTGTGGGAAATTCATTCACAGCTGTGCCTTTGACCGGAGCGAGCAGGAATAGCCAGTGTCACGGGACGGGATGGAGACCAGCGCAGATCTCAATGTTAAAGTCACAAGGACGCAGTCAGAATGAATCGGCCCAAGATACAATGATGTCAGTAAAGGTGAAAGTCACAAAGGAATCATTGCTGATATTCTTCACATTACAGCCAGCATTACCCCAGTGATAATGTCATTTGCTATTCCTGTCAGTGTTTAAACAGTACACACAGTGTTATCTGAAAGCCAAAAATAAGCACATTCCTAAAAGTAAACCCAAAACGCTATCACTGTATTTCGATAAATGATGTTAAATATAGCGCCTAAATCAGACGGCTAATCCGCATTTTTGGAGCTTGTTCTGTTTTTATTTTTGGTGCGTGAGCCACGTTTTAAAAAGCTTCATTTGTGAGAACTGTAACAAGCACCTGTAACGGCTGCTCAATGCTTGTCTGAAATGTCTCCCATCCACTCAGTATCATCATGCTTCAAAGTCATTCTCTACTGATCGGTTCCCTTCCTGTGCTCCCTGTATTGAGTCCCCCACTGCAATCCTGCACGGAATAAGTGTTTATGTTAGGCAGGCTTTTTGATTCTTATATTCTGGCAATGTCCCATGCTTTGCAACCAATGTATTCTTTCTTTAAAATGTACACGTTAATACCATTAAAGAAGCCCTGACACGTTTAGTAAAGCAAGACTATGAAGCTAGGCTTCATTACCCTCCATCCCATCCATGTCACCCCCCCCCCCTCACTGTTGCACCATTTGCTGCTGAGTCCACAGCCCCCCACCCTCTTCCAGCTGTCACTGATTCAGGTCAAAGGTCGCAGCTCCAGTGCCAGCTGTCGGCTAGGTCATCAGCGAGCAATAACGCGGAGCTCGGCAAACACACACTGACACATGGCTCTCACTTACACCTACATGGGCGGAAAGTGAGCAGATGGGTATAATCATCATTTTCACTTCACGTTTTGCATGTATGCAACTGTATGGCCTCACTGATTATCTTTCAACATGCTTGCTAGCCTCTCTATCGCCCCCCTATCTCCTATCAAACCAGAGCACACAGCCACTTGTGCTAATCTGCTCTTTAAGTAGGAGGCTAAAAATATGTCGGACACGACAGGAAAAGATCGCGGCAGAGAAATTCCAGAGACACACAATATCCAGCATGATATTTACTTGTAAAATGTCAGAGCAGTATTCACTAGGTGATGCAATCCCAACTGATCTGTCTTTAGTTACATAGTGTCTTTTGGCCAAGATTTTACTTTTCGGTTAAAACTATAGACATATTTCATCTATTTAGTAGTTATCTGTCTTTGTACAGCCAAATGAGTCTAGCAGATAATTTGTACATATTTCAGAGTTTGTAAGAAATTACAAATATTGCTTTGATTTAGAATGCCGTTTTAAATTGGAGCTCTCTACAATAATAAAAGTTCCCCACAAGATTAAATAGTGATAATATAAATATAAATATAAATAATATAAAAATCGCCCTATCTACACTGCTAGATGTGGTTATATGGACATATGTGGACATATGGTTGTTAATTTTGATTAATTAACTACGTGGGTTAATTAGGTGGGTTGGGGTCGTAAGTCAGCTGTAAGTCTCAGGGGGAAAAGAGGATTTAACAAATGTTACAGGTGATGGAAAATTCAGAGAACAAGACCGATCAGACGATGGACATGCATGCAGAGGGAGAGACTGAATTACCTGAACAATGCTGGGGTAGCAGGAAGCGGTTTGAGGGTAAACAGGCAGTCCATAAGGCTGGAGAATCACGGTAGGAGAGGAGAGCATGATGCAGAGAGATGGAGGAAGGGAGGAGAACGGATGGGAAAGGATGGATGGAGGGGAACCGGTGGAACTGAGAGGACAAGATGAGAGCAGGGAGAAAAAAAAAGTGTACAAACAGAAGGAAAAATAAAAACAGTATCCTAAGGAAAAGAAAGGCAGTCCAGAAGGTGGAAAGAGGACTTAAAAAGGTTGGAAAAGGCACCCGCAGCTTGTTAAGGAAAAAATGTGTTTTGAGGCCACGAGACAAAGAGGGCTGGACAGCTTGCCCGGGTAGAAGACGAGGAGATGGAGTGAGTAGGAAAACATGAACTTCTGCGTGTCTGTCTCTCAGCCAGGCAGCTTGATGGACAGGCACAAATGCAAAGAGTCCAGTTACAGTGCTGCAGAAATAGATTTACCCTCCCCACACCTCAAACCCCCTCCCCATTTTGTCTTGTGTGTCCACATCCATTTACAACTTAACACCGAACTCTCTGCATTGAGGTGGACTGAAACAACAGGTACAGCTCTCTGAACACTACAAAGGAGCACTTCCTTTTAGTGATGTATTTATGCAGCACCACTTGCTGCATGCAGGTCTGTCATCAGCTGAGCTCCACGCTATAGTGGCTGTTGGTAACTTCCGGAAGTAAAGCCATTGTCAGGGATGCACCGTTGACATTCATGCATGCTTCACACAAACTTCTTTCTCAGATCATAGGTATAGTATAGAGATTGATTTACCTGTACATTTCCAGATGTGTGCAGAATCACAATAGAATGAATAAAATGATTTTCATAATGTTTTGTTGGGTTGTACTGTACCCTGTTGTACAGTATACTGGTTCCATAGTCTAATGCTTAGTTCTCCGTGGCCAAGTCTCACTGGAATATTTGTTCTGGTTTTCCAGGCTGCTCTCGCCATCACATGGTACCTTCCCTTTCTGCTTCTCCTGTAAGTGTGTGGTCTTGCATGATAAAAGCTTTGTTTTGGTCACACCCGATCTAGTCCCCCCCAACCAGTGACCTGTCATCCCTTAGGTGTTCCATTGAATATACTGCATGTTCTTTTTGCACTTGTCTTTGACTGAATCACCCCCTTTACGGTTTATTGTTATGGTTCTGGCATATTGTACAGCTCTTGCTCCATTTGCACTTTTTACTGGCCATTCATTGGAGGTGTACCTGCTGTAGCCCATCTGTACTTATGTCTAACTTGGTTCCTTCACTGCAGTGTACTAGTTAAGTACAATCTGCCTCCCTTGTAAGTCACTTCAGATAAAGGTGTCTGCTGAACATATACATTAAATTAATTAGTTAATCAATTAATCAATAAATCAATAAACTAACTAACTGACTAACTAACCTATTAATTAATTAACCACCAAACAAACAAATAAATATGTAATTTTCAAAAAACAACTACTGATGACTGTTGACTTCGTTGATCGAACTGAAATATAAAAGAACACCAGTAGGGGGAGACAAAGAAAGGTTTGCTTGCTGGCTTATCCGTTGTTCATAACTGTTGTCCCATCCAGGGTGTTCTCTGCCTTGTGAGCTATGCTGCCTGAAGCTAATCCACAGCCCCATATTTGTAAAGTCTGCCCCCCCCCCCACACACACACACACTGCAACTACACAGAGAATAAGTGTTTATGTTAGGCAGGCTTTTTGATTCTTATATTCTGGCAATGTCCCATGATTTGGAACCAATGTATTATATAAAATTTACCATTCTTGCTGAACAGTTCCTCAAGATGTGCATTGAAATTGCTGCAAAACTGGTTTTAGATTAGATAAGCGTTATTGAAATACATGCTCCTTACAGATGGAACTATAGCATCTGAAAACAAATCATATTTTTCTTCAGGGCTTTTCTTCCAAAGCTTTTCTTGGGAAGTACAACAATGAGATGCTCATATGTTAGTAGGTGTGGAGTATGTTCATATGGGATGGTGTGTGACTCTGTGGGTTAGGATCTTGTGCCCATCATCAGAAGGTTGCCTCAAGTCCTGGGATTGGCTGCATGATGTCACCATAAAGCAGGGTTTTTTGAGTCCTTAATTACTCCAGGGAATGGCTGACCCAGTGCATGTAACTTTGGATAAAAGTATTTCCTAAATGAATAAATGTACTGAGCCCTATGCTTTCTACAGTATATGCATTATTATAATATTACTTATACAAGCAATTATTTAAAATGAATGAACACATTCACTAACGACCTGTGAACATTTTTGCGGAATAAAGATTTAAATCTACTAAAAACTACAAATTCCAAGTTCTCTTGCATCCGGGCAAATAAAGAGGGATGGTACACTAAAGGCTCACGGTAAATGAAGTTCTTCGGCGATCTATAAAAGATCATGACTCGCCACCATGCGTTCTCTTTACTGGACGAGCCTGAGAGTGTCAGGTATTATTTTCTGCTAGTGAAACATTTCAGTATTTCCCTCTGCCCTTTTCATTTTTAAGTGCATGTAAATTACTTTAGTACCTATTTTTAAAACCGCGTCGGTTTAATGAACACTGTATCAAGTGAAAAACTTAATGTTTAAGATTAAGATGTTTAAGTAGCAACGTGGTTGCTTGCTAATGCTAACGCTCGAGTGGATCCGATTTAATGCCTGATATATGTATCAACTGAATTGGTTTTAGATTAATGTTTTTCGTGCTTTATGATGTACAATATTAGTCCAGACCGCGTTACTCTATAATAATACGTGTAGTAATAATCACATTTTCTGTCGCCATGGCGTCGCCATCTTGCTTAGTTTTAGTGAATTGTCTGCACTATTTGCAGAGCCAAGGCCAGTGGTATGATTTAGCCCATTCACTTTGGTGAGGAAAGTTAACTTTATACCGGATTGATTCAGATTAGTATACTAATGACGTTACCGAAATGCTTAAGATCTTGAAAATATGTTAAAATATTTAGTAACTGTACTTAACGCCGCTCATTTCCGCGCCCCGGGCCTGTTTTAAATGCAAACACTGTGGAGGGTAGTTCAGGTCCAGAAGGTAAAATCCAGAACATGATTTTGAGTTTCTTGAGTTCTGATTCTTTGAATTCAACTAGTTCGTTGAAATAGAATCTTGGTCTGGATTTTTAACTTTCTGGACTTAAGTTATGTGTGTGCCTTTTCAAATATACATCTAATGGTGAATCTTCTATTTTCCAGGCACCTTTTGACCGACCATGCCGGTTGCCAGAAGCTGGGTCTGTAGTAAGACCTACGTCACCCCCCGCCGCCCCTTTGAGAAGTCCCGGCTTGACCAGGAGCTGAAACTCATCGGTATAGATCTGCATTTGCAGTCAGGCTTGGTGATTACTGACTCTGGATCTGTACAATGTGACCAATTCTGAACAATTTTTCAGGGGAGTATGGCCTTAGAAACAAGAGAGAGGTCTGGCGTGTGAAGTTCACTCTGGCCAAAATCCGCAAGGCTGCTAGAGAACTGCTCACCCTGGATGAAAAGGATCCCAAGCGACTATTTGAAGGTAATTATCATGATCTTTAATTTATTTGTGCAGAAAATGTGTTGCATATCTTATACTAAGTGTTCATGAGCGAATGTGTATTCAGGCTTGCATTTCTATGTACTGCACATTGGTATTGAGTAGCTTGTGTTCTGTTTGATATTATTGCTTTTGCTACTGGGTTAATTCCAGCTTGGTTTTGGTGTTTAATTCTTTTGTCCAATTAGATGAGAGTAGTAAGGTTCAGCTACTTCTCATTGGTTAAATGTAGTTCTGTTTCCCATTAAGGTAATGCTCTCCTGAGGCGTCTGGTTCGGATAGGTGTGCTGGATGAGGGCAAGATGAAGCTCGATTATATCCTCGGCCTGAAAGTTGAGGACTTCTTGGAGCGGAGGTTGCAAACCCAGGTCTTCAAGCTGGGCCTGGCTAAGAGCATCCATCATGCCAGAGTGCTCATCCGTCAAAGGCACATCCGGTGAGTGAGTCGGGGTGACGGTCAGATGGCCTGAAAGGCTTTTCCTTTAGCATATGAAATGACTTTGCAAAGACCTGAGGATATTGAAGCTTTCCTTCCCTCTTCACCGTGGGTCCAGCTGTTTCGGTTCCACCTGAGCGCTTTAAATTCAGCAAGGTCAATTCGGTGACAAACCGTATACCTTGTAAGAGACTGGTTGATCCAATCCTGTCAGTCGGGATGAAGTTTTTACTTCCTGTTGAAGATTTGGCAGGTAATGTAGATCACATTGACCTGACATCTTGGTATATGTACGGGCTCTCTGTAGTTCTACTGGTTGGAATTTGAATTATTTTCTCAGGCCGATGATTTAATGTTTTAATCAGACTGTCAGTGGTGTCAAGAATTCCTCGTGAATGAGGCCTGAGTTGCACATTTTGCAATGTGGCTGTGTTGGATCTGGTTGGAGTACTAATGTAAACTTAGCCTTGTTGTTTTTCCTCCAGTGTCCGCAAGCAGGTGGTGAATATCCCATCTTTTGTTGTGCGCCTGGATAGCCAGAAGCACATTGACTTCTCACTGAGGTCTCCTTATGGCGGTGGAAGACCCGGCCGTGTGAAGAGGAAGAACGCCAAGAAGGGCCAGGGCGGTGCTGGAGGCGCCGATGATGAAGAGGAAGATTAAGCCTGAGGAATTTGTCTGCCGTACTCCTGCAATCTTTTCAATAAAAAATCTGGAAACCTGAACTGTCCTTGCCTTTTTATTTTCCTGAGGTCTGAACCACATATTTGTAATGCTATTCAATGGGATGTTTAACACAAATTTCTTAGTTTTTGCTCCTGTGGTGTTAATGTGTCAATTTCATGTATTGCTCAACCAGCCTATCATGCAGATGGGTGATTGTCCATTTGTCATCTGATTATATAAGCATTGTAAGTGTGGTTCTGTAGTACCTAGAAGGCATTAGCATAACATCTGACGTTTGTATAGGAGAATTTTTTCCTGTGGTGCCTTGTTTACGTTTGACTTTTACAGCGCTGTTAGAATCTAAGTTGGCTACCAGCTGTTTGGATTCTTTGTTTAGCATTGTAGCGTAAGTAAGATCGCATTTCAACTACGTGGCTCTGAAACGGGTTCGTACGCAACTGACCCAAATTGAATTTCATGCCTATAGCACTGTGTGAAGATGAACTGGTAAACTGCGAAGTCGCATTGCGAAACTCACAAGCCTTTGTTTAAAAAAAAAAAAAAATCGATGGCCAGTAGCTGCTGCTGGTGACCGGAAGCGGCGGTTCGGTGACGTAAATATGCAGCGACGCGGTTCTCCTTTAGACACCTGACAGGTTTAGTTTTATTGTCTTTGCGTTTCCGAGTGTAATTACGAAACATCTTGTGTACAAAACCTAATAAATACTGTGCACTTGTATCACAGAGGGTTTCCGCAGTAATGGTTTTCCAAGCTTTGGCGGGTCATCGGGTTGTGAGTTTTAACGAGGCGGAAATTAGCTGTCTTCCGTGTTAAAGGTGGATCAACTGAAGCCGGAATTGGGAGTTTGTATTTAGACAGAAGGGTGTAGAATAAGAACTCGTCAATATAATACAGGTTTTTAACTACATGCATATTTAGAAGGCTAAGTTTCCGATATGATGACCGATATGGAGGCAAGTCTGTCCGTGTCACTCGATTTGTCCTCGGTGGTCGAGGAAGCCTTGCGTTCTGCAGTGTGCTCGGTGCTCTCTGAGATCCAGAGGCTGATCGGAAAAGATGTGGCCGAGCTGCGAGCGGCCGTGGCCAGGAAGGACTGCGAGAACGAGGAGCTGCGAGCCCAGCTGGAGTCGGCCAGGCGGGAGCTGCAGGAGCAGGCGAGGTTCAGGCAGAGGTACCGCCGGCACGACGGCGTGGCGAAACCCTGTGACCTGGATGAAAGTAATCGCTCATGCACGTCGCGGCCGGGCACGCATCGTGTCACACATGGGGGTGCAAGTCATTTGTACCTCGGTCATGGCTCGCTGGCGTTCAGTCATAACTGGGACCAAGTTACACGGCATGACTTTACAGAACGGTTGGAAAACCTTAAACAGGATCTGACTCTAGAAGCAGACTGCAGTGTAGACACGGCCGAATCAGGTAGTACATTCTCAGGTTTAACTAAATATATTCCGTATATAACAATGATGTTTAAAATTTAACTAGTAAACAGGTATCTCTTCTCCAACTTAAAACGTCATGGAAGTGGCAATATCAATGACAATCATTTATAGCAGTAATGTATTATATAGTTTTAAGCAAATTACATCCAGCCAAGCTTTTCTGTGAGATTATGTAAATAATAAGTGATACACGTGTAGCCTATTTGGAAATGTGAAATTCAGGGGTATGGGTTTCTTTATCATTGTGGAACTTAATGAATTTATGTCCCCAAAATCCAACACAGAGCCTGATTTGATCTCTGGCCCTGAATCTCTGGTGACTAACCCCACACTGAGGAAGAATGAGGACAGCGACCTGGACAATGCCAGTGCTGCTATGGATCTCAGAGTCATTGAGGTGAAGGAGGAGGTTGCAACCAGCCAGCAGCTGTCTGCTGCGGTAGAATCTGCTGGTTCCACAAGGCCGAAGCCTTACATTTGTGGTGATTGTGGAAAAAGTTACCTCTGGCTAAAGAACTTGAAGAAGCACCAGAAGATCCATACAGGTGAGGCGCCATTCAGCTGCAAGATCTGCTGCAGGCTATTCTCCTCGCAGCAGGTGTTAGAAGAGCACCAGCGTGTGCACACGGGCGAGCGGCCGCACCGATGCACCTCCTGCCCGAAGACCTTCAACCACCTGTCTAACCTCAAGAAGCACCACCTGATCCACACCGGGGAGAAGCCGCACCATTGCAGCCTCTGCGGGAAGCGCTTTCGACAGATCCAGCACCTGAAGGAGCACCGCAAGACCCATGAGGACAGCAAGCCTTTCCGCTGTTGGGAGTGCGGCTGGGGCTTCAACCATGGCTCCAACTTCAAGCGGCATCTGCTCGTCCATACCCGACAGAAAATGCGCCACAGCCTGGCCACCTGAGCCGTCCGGAGGTTTTGTTGCCATTGTTGTTCCCATTGTTGTTTTTTAAGTGGTTCCAGGTAAAGTCACCTTCATCTTCTCTGGAACACATCCATTGTCTGAAATCATTTAATATTAAAGAGCATCTTCAGAGCTGATAATGTGCTAAAATTATTGCCTTATTTTTAGAGTGAATGCTTAATGCTAGAGGGCATCAGTTAGACGGCTAGTGGCGAGACCTAAAAGAGGAAGTAAAAGCATTTAATTTATCGCTAACAGTAATATAAATATGTTAATGACTGATATACTTTGTTTAATTTGATAAGATTCTTCATAAACTTGAAAAAGAAAATGGATTTATGTTTGATACTGAATTTGATTTCATTCATGCTTTATGTTTAATCAAATAATGCAATACATACTGTACATCTACTTCCTGGTCTGCAATGAACATGTTTCATAAAATTGCAGGAAATATTTAAAAACAGATTGCTTACCTGGTGCAGTCTAACTTACCACATTTTTAATAGTCCATTTTCAAGAATACAGTCAAGGTATATTTATGATATAAACTTTGCAGTACAATAGTGATGTGGGGAAAAACAAACTGTCATAGTTTACTACTAGATTTAAATGGGTATATTTGTGGAAAAAAATTGCTGAAATATTTTTATAGAAAAATGTGCTTCATTCATTTAAAATGTTTTTAACTTATTGTAACTTGTTAACTGAATATTGACAGGATTTTGTGTGTGGGGTAGAACTGTAGTCCAAACCCATAACATCTAAGTCAGTGGTCTCCATCATTTTGTCTTTTTTTTTTTACAGTGAGAGCTATTTTTACAAATGAGTAATGAGTATATTTTGCCGATGGGGAGTGATAGGGGTGGCTTATGCATGAAGGTAATGGTCTAGTTGTTGCATTCGACTAGACATGTCTTTGAGATCGACAATCACCCAGTTTGCGACCACTAATCTAAGCAAATTCTCCCTAATTTATAACCAAGCGTGTTTTGAGTGCTGATTGCTTGTTGAGGGTGAAACACCTCACTGTCTGGGTTTCCAACCAGGCTTGGCTTTAAAAAGAGAGACGAGTGCAGTTTGCATGAGAGAGTCTGTGCTGGTGAAGTGCTGTGCAGACGCCTGCGCTGATGCCCTGAGTCTACAGTGCTGACTCTGCCTCCAGAGCTCTGACAGAGAAACAGGGCTGCACTTCTAAGAAACAGTTCCTGGGCCTGTCATTTTAAAAATGTTTCCTTTGGATTGATGCATTTACACATTTTATGTTTGATCTTTGCATTTTGACACATTGTTTTATTTGCAATCTTTGAGGTCTTTTGTTGTAGATAGTATTTTGCTTTAAGAAAGACTACTTCAAGGCAGTTAATAAAAGCTGAGCTATCATGATAACATAACGTGTTTGTCTTTATGATGATCCTGCGGGTGGGAGCTGACCTGAATGGGTGTTCTGAGTTTGTAAAAGGGGAAGTATAGATTGGTGTCTGGCCACTTTATTAGGTACACCTGTTCAGCAGGCTCATTGGAGCAAATATCTGATCAGCCAATCATATGTCAGCAACACAGTGTATAGAATCATGCAGATACAGGTCAAGAGCTTCAGTTAGTGTTCACATCAAACACCAGAATCGGGAGGAAAGGTGATGTAAGTGACTCAGTGTGGCATGGTTGTTGGTGCCAGATGGGCTGGTGTGAGTATTTTAGAAACTGCAGATCTATCTGGATTTTCGCACACAATACAACCATCTCTAAGATTTACAGAGGATGGGCTGAAAAATAAAAACATCCAGTGAGTGGCAATTCTCTAGGCGAAAATGGCGTGTTGATGGCAAGCGTCAGAGAAGAATGGCCAGACTGGTTCAAGCTGTTAGAAAGGCAAGGGTAACTCAAATAACCACTTGTTAAAACCAAGGTATGCAGGAGAGCATCTTTGAACGCACAACACGTTAAATCCTGAAGCAGATGGGCTACAGCAGCAGAAGACCACACCGGATGCCACTCCTGTCAGCTAAAAACAGAAAACTGAGGCTATAGTGGGCATAAGTGGACAAACGAAGATTGGAAAAACGTTGCCTGGTCAGATGAGTCTTGATTTCTGCTGCGACATTCAGATGTAGGGTCATAATTCGGCATAAATAACATGAAAGCTTGGCTCTATCCTGCCTTGTACCAACAATTCAGGCTGGGTGTGGTGTGGAGGATGTTTGCTTGGCACACTTTGGGCCCCTTAGCACCAACTGAGCACCACTTAAATGCCACAGCCTACCTGAGTATTGTTGCTGACCATCTCCATCACTTTTTGACCACAGTGTACCCAGCTTCTAAAGGCTACTTCCAGAAGGATAATGCCCCATGTCATAAAACACTATAAATATCATCTCCGACTGGTTCCTTGAACATGGCAATGAGTTCACTGTACTCAAATGGCCTATACAGTCACCAGATCTCAATCCAATTGAGCTGCTATGGGATGTGGTGGAAAAGGACATTAGCATCATGAAAGTGCAGCAGAAATATCTGCAGCGACTGCCTGATGCTATCATGGCAACATGGACCAAAGTCTCTGAGGAATGTTTCACCTTGTTCAATCTATGCCATGAAGAATTGGGGCAGTTCTGAAAACAAAAGGGGGTTTAACCTGGTACCTGCCAAGGTATACCTAATAAAGTGGCCAGCAAGTGCATAGAGAAAACCTGAGAGAAAGAGATTAATTGGATGATGGTGCTTAGATGTTCTAGAGGCCATTAGATGTTCTTCTGGATCAAGGCAAAATTGAAGTCATTTCACACAGGATTTTGTGACTTATTACCAAAAATTGCAAATGGAAAATGGTGCCCAGGCACATACCAAGGGGTAGAAATTGTAGGGAGGAATCAGCACTAAATATTTAGTCAATGAAATGACCAGGTTGACATGGTCCAGTGAAGCCAGCAGTCACTCAGCCTGCAGTCGGTCGTTCTCCTCCAATGGCTGAATCTTGCCTATGATTGCTCAGCCGCAGTTGCTCTCTTTCTTGATCATAATATGATAGATAGATTATTTGATTGATTGCGAAAGAGGCAATGCTTTTTAAGAGATTAGCCTAGATTTAGCCTGGCGGTCAGTCTGATTTTATTTCGTACAATATCTAGCAGGAGTTTTCACACAGCACTTTGTTGTTTGTTGACTGAAATAATCTAATCAAGCTGATGATGTAAATGTTCCTTACAGAAACCTGTCCATCTTCCAGCCACTTATCTTGATCAAGGACAAGGGGGGGTCTGGACCCTGTCCCAGGCAGCATAGGGCATGAGGCCGGGGAACACCCTGGACAGGATTCCAAGCACAAACACACACTCATGGGGAATTCAGAGACAGAAAGTCATATAACTGCACGCATTTGGGCTGCAGGGGGTTAACTAAAGCATGTAGAGCAGGGGTCTGAAACTCCAGTCCTGGGGGGTCGGAGCCCTACACAGTTTTTGGTTCACCCTCATTTAACACACCTGATTCAACTCCTTGTGCTAATTACCACACAGCTCTTGAGCTGAATCATTTGTGGTGGAACAGGGAAAGAGCTACAAAGGGCTCCGGCCCCCCAGGACTGGAGTTTGACACCCCTGATGTAGAGGAAACCTACATAGCACAGGGTGGACATGCAAGCTCCACACACACACACACACCACTGATGCTACCCACTGATTCACTAGTTACATTTAATAATTTTGTAACAAAACAGTCAATTACAAATGCACATTACTTAAAAAAAAACACGGTTGCACCGAGATCTAAAAAAAAATTAAATTAAAATTTCAGAAATTATTTTATAAAGTTACCAAATAATAATGTTCGTCTTATCTACTGAAATATACACTACGTGAACCCTATACATATTTTTATCCACTGTACTCGGTAAAATATTGCGGCACAATTTTACTGCGGTAGAGATCAGGAACCAATTTCTTGTGTAGCAATGCCTCTTGTTCGTAACACGGTTACGTAACTTAACCAAAAACACGGAGTTATGAAGTAGTTTCAGTGCGAGTGGAATCGTGCCTTTGTTGCTTCGTTGGTTTAATTAACATAAAAATATGAAGATACCACCAGTAAAAACGGGACATTTTGCATAATCGTCATCATAATATCATCTGGGCCATTAAAAATATCCACTCGCCTCTTAACGTTTCCCTTGGCGAATATTAAATGCATTTCCGTAACTAGTGCATTCTACACCACATGCAACACTTAAATATTTATGTTTTCTAATCAAATACAATTTGTCAGCAAGAAGCGCTACAGTGTCACCGAAATCCTGGCAGGGATCTCCGGGGAATTGAGCGCCAGACACCGAAGTGGAGATGCCGATCGAGGCCGAAAAACGTGCGTGGGAGTGGGGGAAGGAGCGGCGTGTGTCTCGCAGGGGCGGAGCGACCCGGGCAGCGCAAGTTAGAAAACACTGCCCTGTTAAGAAGCAGGAAACCAATTCGTTTGGGCGGGTGGTGACAGGCGCAGGGTCCGGGGCTGTGTGCAGGCGTTTTTGTAACGTGAGTATCGTTTAAATTGGTAACGTCGTCTCCTTATCCAGTATCGGTCTAATAAATAGCACTGATTTGGTCTGTTGTGTAACAATCGCTAGTATTTGTGGTAGATCTGACTGCCGTGTACGATGGCTGCATATGTTGAGCCTCATATTCAGAATTATGAAATGTGAATTAATGCCGTAAGCTGTTAATCTTGATGTTTTGGTAAAGTTATGGGAGATTGGTCTGTTCTGAGCTGCAAATAATTCTATATGTGCCCTGTATTACACGGAGCAACGCGTGTTCCTGCACGCAAATATCCATTTGCTTACGCGAACATGACTGATTCATCATCCTCCGACTATGTGGCAACCTTTTCCGGTGTCAGGTTGAATAAAATAATTAACAGGTTTTAGATCTCAAGTCTTAAGACGTGTCTAATGGTGATATAACGTGTTCAAATAGCCTGCCGATCAGCTGTCATCGTAAAGCAGTTCCCCTAGTTGTCTGCAATTATTGGGGCTTGGCATGTAACTGCGCAAGAAGCATTGCAGCCCTGGAGAAGTGGTATATCTTCAACAATCTGGTAATACACTGCAAAGCAAAATAAAAATGCGAAAATTGAAAGATACAGTTGAGTTTCCCGCTAACCCCCTAAAAATAGCGCAGCTGTAGTGGAAAATGGGTTAAATCTGGAACCAGCGGGTAGTAATGATAAGTAAATCAGGGATATTTGTTTCTAGCTTTACCTTTTTCAAAAACATAGCACGGTTTTACGGATAAGTGCCCCCCCCACCAAATGAATAACCTTCGTACAGTAGTGCTCTCTAAGAAATATCTCAGCTGTCCTAGATATTAATATAAACAGTCACTGTTGTTCTCTGTCTGTGTGGAAAAAGAGGCATGTCTCCAGATGAACTCGTCTATCTCGCAATTCTTGCTGCTTCCATACCTGTTGGATTCCTCTTCCGTTACTTGAGTGAGTGTTTCTCAGTCGTTACAAACAGCTTATGGCTTTCTTTGTATAATCATTATTAGGAAATTATGTTTAACCTCCGTTCCTAACAATTACGCCATCGCACTCCTAAAAGGTCCATCGGCCAAGCAATGGTCAGCTCTGCTCCTAGGGCTGTCCGTTACCATAGCGACCTGCCAGATTCACACTCTGCACTCTCTCGTCACTGTGCTGGGAACATGGATGATCATAAAGTATGACTGGAGGTAATAATTACAGGAGTAATGACCACCCGCATTTTGTATATACGTGGCGTACATGCGTGTCATGGCGCATAATAAGTTTCTGATTTTCTCTCTCACCCCCTCAGAGCTGCACCGTCTCTTTCTTTGGGATGGACCTTTCTCTATCTCCTGTTTTTCCGTCTGTCGTACTTGTTCGGTTTGCCATCTCCAACGCCATTCGCCAACGCAATTCAGCTTCTTCTTACTCTGAAGGTAAGTTGGAATTTGTACAGTGTTTTGTGTTTTTTGCTGTGCAGCGGAGCCCCTCCAGCAGCTGACGGTGATGGCCATAGAGGCCGTCTTCTATTTGTGAAATGGGTCAGCCATTGTCCTGATACTCCTAATTAGGACCTTTATCAAAGCAGAGGTGATCCTGCCCTCTCTTGGATGATCGCTGTTATTACAGAGATTGCGTCCTGATTGTCTTCCGCACTGCATGCTGCAGAAAAAGATTAGGCAGAATGCTGAGTGTAACTTTGGTCTGTGTCATTATGCAGATGGTCAGTTTAGCCAATGAAGTTCAACAATATCACCTGGCAAAGAAGGAGGATGTGACATCATTCTCCAAGTCTCCCCTGATTTGTGGACTGACACAGGAGCCTTCTCTCTATGACACAGTGTCTTATAGCTATTGCTATATTGGCCTATTCACAGGTGAGCGTTCCTTCATATTTTTCATAACTTTGTCTGGTTCATTCTACATTTCACCCTTAGAAAATCACATGTCTAGGTTTGTACACTTTTGCCCATAAGTGTTTTGTGTCAGTCTATGTTTGTTATTTCAAGCTAATTACTTTTGTAATTAACACAGAAGAAAAGCTGTATGACTGGGTTGTACAGAAAGCGTGCGTTGAAGAACATGTGTGTCATAAATGATTATACTTGGACTGGCTGGTAGACGTGCTGTTTTTTCCATTTTCTTTGATTGTGTATTTTTCTTTATTAAAGTTCATAATGATCGAGGATATCCATAATAAAGTCAGAAAATGTAGTATAGCTAATTGCTATTATGTTTATTTCTGCAATATGCATGTTACTAATAAAAATAATAAAAAATGAAATCTTGACAGGCTCTGCAGACTACTGGAAAGTTTTGACCATGTTGTGACAGGATAAATACTCAAGCTGTGCTGAGTTATTAATGGTTCCCATTCAGTAAATGAGGGTCATTCAGTAATTTGAATTTCATCTATTCAGTCTTCCTTGTTTCTCTGCCTCTTCTTCCCTGCTGTATTGATTTATAATATCTTAGTTTCCTACCTGTACGGCTTTGGCTTCCACCTTGTCTTCGTTCCCTGGTTCCCTCATCCCTTCTGACTCCTGTCTTCTCGTCTCCCTCCTCGTCGGTCCCCATCCCACGTCTCCCTCC